CAAAACCCCAAAACCCCAAAACCCCAAAACCCCAAAACCCCAAAACCCCTGAATTCTAAGATATGGATACCATTTAAGGTTTTAGTAAATTAAATGAATATTGATTGGATTTATCTTTTTATCAAAACTAATTTGATATCTGCCTCCAGTGAATCCAAATTTACCTTAGATTTCAGCTGGATTGAAGCACATTCAATACTTGATTTCATTCAAGAAGGAATCCGTTTCTGGTTTCCTTGACTTATCTCCATGGGAATGGTTTGTCATGAGAGAAAATAGTTAAATCAAGTGTCCATGGTTCACCACCCCAGAGAGTCCAATTCGAGTGATCTTCGATTTCACAGCCAGAGTTAGTATGGACAAGGATACTGTAGTCTTATCTGTGTTGCATCATCCAGGTTGACATTGAGCCAATATGCTCGGGGAGAACAAAGACTGACCATTGAGCAGTGGGGAAAGGTCCAGCTGGTCCCTTGTCATCATCAAGGATACATGAGTTATCATTGTGGAAAAGATCATGGCAATCTGGGCCAAGTGTTTGATTGAAAGCTGCAGCGAATTGATCTCTGATTTAAAAAGCACCAACAGTATTCTCTTTGTTGTTCTGGAAATAAAGCAAGTGAATGTGATAAGAGTAGATTTGAGCTGGTGTTGGTGAGATGCAGGTAGTATTTCTATCTACTTTGTAGTAAGTTGGATGGGCTAAAGCAGCTCCAAACAAGATTAAATCCTTGGCATTATCCCATGGGAATGACTTATCTTTGTGAAGAGTTGTGCGATCAAGTGACCATAGTTGCCCTCCCCAGAGAGTCCAGTTTGAGTGATCTTCAATTTCACAGCCAGAATTTGGATGGATAAGCATACTATGACTCTTTCTGTGCTACATAACCAAAGTAGCCATTGCGCCAATGTGATCTGGGAGCACAAATACTGACCACTATGCTGTTGAGAAAGGCCCATCTGGAGCTTGATCAGTAGTGCTTCCCATGCAAGCATATGGATTATGGAAGAGATTTTTGCAGTCTGGACCAAGTGTATCATTGAAAGCAGCCATAAAATCTGACCTTATTTACAAAGCACCCTCAGTATCCTCCTTGTTGTCCTAGTAGAAAAGCAAGTGAATGTGATAAGAGTAGACTTGAGCTGGTGAAGGCTGAACACAGATGGTATTTCTATCAACTGTGTAGTAAGTGGGGGTGAGTTATAGCTGATCTTAGTAGAAGTATGTATTGGTCCATTTAAATGAATCTTTATTAATTTTAATATATTTAAAATATCTTACAAATATTTAAAACTTAAGATCGAGGGGTTTTGGGGTTTTGGGG